TCTTGTAAACCAAGACGCATGAATCCAGAGAATGGGCGCCTTTGTGCAGACACTGCCACCAAGAATTTGTCAAAAATAACAAATCACCTGGGCTCCTGCATGCTAACATTAACAATGATTGGCAATGCGGCATGCATTACATCGTACACGTGCATCGTAACATTGGCATGGTGTCATCGTACCGACATAGTGTACTAGCGTGATGCACACCCGATTCAAGGTTATACGTCAAGGGTTGCGCGAAACGAACGGCTAAGCCGGAAGGTTACGATGACCCACACTGCATATTATTTTAAAAATTACTCAGCACGCACTAATTAGTCATCAGGAATCATGTGCTCATGATAAGTGATTTTCTGATATAATAATTGGTGTGGCTCTTCGCCAAGGCCCTGGAACTACGTTCCTCGCAACCCTCCGACATAGCCGCCTGTTTCGGCAGCCCTCAGCGTAGAGCTGTGGATCATGGTGTTACGATGTGGGAACTCAGATCATTTGTCCTTTTATAACCTTTTTTAGTGTTCTTGTTTCGGCAGACTGGGACTATTTTCTTGCTTCACTTGTCTTGGTTTTCAAATGTACTTCTACCTAACCTTGCTCGACCGTTCACTCGTGGTCATAGGCACAACTTGAAACGCCAAGTACTGTCAACGTAACTAGTGCTTAATGCTTATCATGTCTATGGCATCGCTTAACCAAAGCCTTCTGACATGTTGAGGTTCGATGACTGGGTATTAGGGCTCTGAACTCATAACGTCAAAAAGCAGAGGCTGAATGCCTTTCTTGCCTACATCAGAAATGTGCTGCCATCAATTCAAATCGGCAGAGCCTTTTCTAGTTGTCCAACCAGAACACGCCCGCTGTTCATCTGTTGAACTACGCTGCCATTCTAAGAAATCGATGAATTCCCCGTATCTCGAGTAGGCCAAGGACGTGCTCTGTGCACCGCACGCTAGGTTAAGGACTGTGCTCTATGCATCGCACGCCTAGGTCAGCGCTGTTAGACGTTCTGGCCATGACCACGGTCAGGAGTGGCTTGATAACGTGAAACGTGGCTTGATAACTTGCCCTTAACCGTTTTCAAACGATACGAAAACCAGTGCACAACAGTTCTTGCATCCTTTGGTTGTCTTCCAAGTCAAAACGCCCTGCGCACGGCGAGGAGTCGACGGTACGAATAATTTCTCCGGGCAGCTTTCTCTGAGCTTCTGCACCTCTGGATATTAAGGTAGAGTGATGTTGCCAGTCACTGTCAAGACCAAGTCGTTTCGTGCACATGCAATACTTAGGTATGAGAAGCAAGGTCGTTTCGTATAAATGCAATACACGGGTATCAAGCAAGATATCAGAAGCAAGTACACTTATTCCTTCCGCACATCGTAAAGCCTTACCCGCTACTGATGACTACCCGGTGCGAAGCGCGGCGAAGAACTGTTGTCAGCCAACGCGCCACCAGCACATTCCAATCCGCTGAGGTGAGAGAGGGAGGAAGGAGGGGAGGGAGAGGGGGAGAGAGAGCAATTTGTCCTGTGGCTTCTTGTCCACGGGAACCATTTTTACCAGCCTGTCAGTCAGTGACATCTGACTGTGCAGCATCGTATACATCGCATGCAGTCAAGCAAATACGAGAGTCTGGGCTATATATTACTTTAACAGCGTGACAGAATTAGCATGGCACATTTCCTACACATGGCAGTTCGACTGACGCAGAAGATATCTGCATGCTCATTGCGGAAGATCAACTCCTCCCACCAGGGACAGAACGGCCAACAGGCGTTCTCATTCTCAGACATTATGACATTGCGACCTCAGAGCTTAACAAACATTCCAAAGCGAGCCATCGGAGCCACGTGTGTTCTCGCCAGCCGTCAGCATCTGAGCTCTTCTACGTTCTGTGACCTGGTGTCGGACCATAAGCTCTAGTGCACCCACTCGTTATATGACGACGTAATCGGTCAGCCTATGCTGCAAAACCGGCCCTGTAGAAATGGGAATGGAGGGCCATCGATACTGGGCACATCTTTCCACCGGCTATAATCCACGACCTTGCGGGCCTCGTAATTTAACAACTGGTATCATAAAATGTTCTGGGAGGAATTGTGTCGGCGGTAAAATAGACGATAACGGTCTAACAATGATCCACGTGACGTATGTATCATGATCGTAACGCTTACACAAACCCTCGGTAAACCAGAAGCAACGCAAGTATTAATCGAAGACACAAATTCTGAGCTTATATGCAGAACTTCATCCGCCACGTCATCGCAGAAGCACTCCTCGCAAAAACGCTGCCGATGTTTCCGATCTGGAGCGAAGTGAGTGGATCCATCACAAGTGGCATCCACACAAACTTACTAAACTCTGCAGGAGTGGTACGTCATTGCGAACATTCCCCACTAGAACGCCATCGCAATCATAAAGTTAAAACTGGCAATCGTCTAAGCAAGGACCAGTTGCAACAGCTTGACTAGATCATTCTGGCTTTCCTTCGTGCAACATGTTAAAAGATCACTGCTCTATCACACCTATGCACGTCCTTAAGACCGCAGAATAGGGACGCAAGGCCCACAGAGACCACGTGCGCTGCGCTCCTGCGGCGTCCGCGGTGGGCCATCGGCGCCGGGCGGCCGCTGGAGCCTCGGGCGCCACCGGCCTGGCCGTCCGGTGTCCATACATCACCTGGCTGGGGCTCGCCCGCTCTCGGGGACCCGGCCTGCCCACCCCACCGCCGACGGAAGTCTTTGCTCCCATCCACTCCCCGAATGCTTCCGCCGGTCAGCCACGCGTCACCACGCCGATGTGACGTCACATCTGGTCACCACGCCGATATGACGTCATATCTGGTCGTCGATGGTAGATGCATCACTCTTGTTCTGTGATGTGACGGTGGTGCCACCCGTGGCCGCCGGCGAAATCAGTCACAACGCCTCGTCGCCAGGTTGCGCGTACGGCACGTTGTGGAAGCCGTAGTACGTAGAGCGGCCGTTGGTGCCACCACGGTCGACCCCGTTGCTTCCCCCGTTGCCATGGCTGCTCCTGCCGCCGTTCGCGTGACCCTTGCCGCCGCCGTTAGGCGACGCGGCGTTGGGGCGTCTTCGCCGCTTGAAGAAGCCCAACTGAAACATACAACGCCGGCGGGGTTTTGACGTGCTCTGATTGTGTGTTTTGTTATAGCCTAACAAGCAATGCTCCGCTCACGTACAAGTGACCGGAGATGTTCGACTTCACCACTCAGAGCACCTTAATTTGGTGAACATATCATGCATGTGTATATCTCAAATTAAGAACGATTAACGATGAACATAAAAGACAAATTTGCTTGCCGACATAAAGATGAATTAAAACATCTTGTAAACATAAAATACGTAAAATAGCCAAACTCTACCAGCATGTTTGAGCAGTTAGAGTTTAGCCAAACACGCTTCTCATAAACCTACAAGCACCCATTGTACATGAAGCATCTGAAACAGCTGGTATGCTCGGTGGCAGTAGTCAGCCTTTTACTGATCGTT